GCATGTCTTTGCTTGCAGTGGAGAGACCTGTGTTGTTTACACACAGGTTTCTCCCCTGTCAGCTTTACACGGTGATCGCCAGGTACCGGCGCGGGGATTTCTAGCCAGGACCAGGTGATCGACATCCGTAGTCGCCAATGGTGGCGCGGGTAGGGCGGCGCACGCACCCCCCCTACCCAGAAATACAAATCACGTGTATATACGTGATTTTCCGCAGCCCTGTCACCCTGTAGCAGTAGTTCAGCTATAGGGTGGGGGACAAACGGTTACTTTATTGACACAACTTAACAGACGGCAGTCTGGGGCTAGTCATATAGTAAAAAAAATTCATAATCCACCCTTTCATGGCCATACTTTCGCAGAGGAGATCTGCCATCTCTATCCTTGCCTGTAACTAAAAAAATATGAGCGTAACAAAACAGGAGTTGATTGATGAACCAGGGCACAATGCCTCTCTGTGAACTCCTCTTTGTGTGTGCTTTAGATCTGTTTATAAGCAGCATAAAGCAAAATGACAGATAGTTTTTTTATATTCTTACAGGAGAATTACCAGAGATTGCCAACCTTAATCAATGGCAATTTCCTGTCACTGCTGCTGCAGTCTGCTGCACAACACAGCTTTTCTGAAAAGTCGCTAGAGTGTGAGCTTTTCAAGATCATTCAGTGGATTAAATCCAGCTCAAGTACAATCTAAATTCTGCCAATATTTATATGTATGTTGCATAACTTTGTGGCACCAACCAGAGTATTGTTAGGCTTAGAGATAAACTTACAAGATATTAAACAGACAATATTTCAAATCTGTTCATTATTGTAAGGAAATGTTAGCTCTCAGTCATGTGACCCAGATATTTGGCTCAGGTTCCAAAAAAAAGTTATATATATGCATGTGTTTGTGTCCATATCTTAGAGAACCAGGTTAGATCAGGTTCCCACATCTGCATAATGCTGCCAATCTAGCAATAACCAAATCCAAGCCACTATTGTGAATTTTCTTTCTATCTGTCTGACAATATATTCACCACCTGCCCAGTGAAATGATCATTCTTTTTTTTCTCACCAAGAACAGAAAAATGAAATGATCAGTCATGGAGATTTTATAGCATGTGATCAATGTTCAGCTTAGGGCTGGTTGCTATGATTAATGGGATTGATGCTCAAAAGGGTGCATCCACAATGAAAATGAAGTACTGTGTAGCCAGATTTTTTTTTTCGTTCCAACACCACCCGCAAAATTAATGCAAAGCAAAGACTGTTGGGCAATTCAAACTAAAGAAAACATTTATAAACAGAGGTCATCTATAGAGAAAAGCACACATCAAAATGGTCAGTAGAATATACTATGGGCAAATGCCGGTAAATGCAATCATTTATTTATTACAGGTACTTATATAGCGCCATCAATTTACGCAGCACTTTACATATATATATTGTACATTCACATCAGTCCCTATCCCTCAACGGGCATACAATCTGAAGTCCCTGACTTACATTCATACATATACAAACTAGGGCCAAATTAGACAGGATCCAATTAACCTACCAGCATGTCTTTGGAGTGTGGGAAGAAACCGGAGTACCCAGAGGAAACTCACACAGGCACAGGGAGAACAATCAAACTCCAGGCAGGTGGTTGGGATTATCTTTTTTTTTGTACAAGTAATGCTTGGCATTGTCATCCCAACCATTAAGTCTCCAAATCAGCCCCTTACGAATGAGCAGAATATCTGACGTATAGCGAGGCTCAGGAGCTGGGAGAATGGGCCCAGCTTAAAATTATGATAAATGTTTGTTTTTTCTTTCTTTGAAATAACAAACATATCATACTTACCTGCTCTGTGCAATGGTTTTGCACAGAGCAGCCTCAATCCTTCACTTCTCAAGTCCCCCACTGGTCCTTCTGGTTCCTCCCCCTGCTGTGTGCCCTTACAGCAAGCTGCTTGCTCTAGGGAAAATAATGCGTGCTCGCTCCCGAGCTGCCTCAGTGTGTCTATGGGACACACAGAGCATGGCTCAGTACCGCCACTTGCTCCCTCCTCCTTACTGACAGCAGCAGGAGCTATTGGCCTCGCTGTGTCTCAGCCAATGAGGAAAGAGAGACCCAAGGGAGCTTCAGTTCTCATGCACACTGCTGGATTGGGATTGGGCTCAGGTAAGTATAAGGGTGGAGTGGGATTACACACTGAAGATTTATCACCTTCATGCATTACAGCCACTTTAACTTCTACAGAATAAATAAAAATGTACACAGCTCCAGATCAGTTGATCAACTGGACATATGGCTTTCACTGACATAACCTTCGAACATGCATTTTTTAATCAAATGCTCAATTTCCCAAACATGTGGCAGGTTTATTAAAAAAAAAAAAAAGTAATATAATTAAAATAGCAAACCTACCTCTATATTATTTGTAATTATTGTATTATCACCTGTCAGCTTGGTGTAAAATCAATTTGGTCCTAGCAGTACATCTACTTTAAAATGCCCTTTATAGGTAAACCAGCCATATGGGCATATTCTATAGATCAGACAGGATTTTCCCAATCAATACAATTTCCATGATGGCAGGTTTAAACATGTGGGAAGACAAAGGGCATCTGTGCAAACCTGACCGTGACCCCTCAATCCCATAGAAAACACCATGATACATTCCAATCCAGTATTGGTCACAGCAGTTCACCCAGCCATGAATTGCAGACAAACGTCTGCTACAGGTAAGCTGACTATATGTAATAACATGGACACATTTGATGGATCAGACTGGATTTTCCAAAGCAGCACGTTTCCATTTTGACAGATTTTATACATGTGGGAAAGCAGAGGGCATCTGTGCAAACCCAACTGACCCCTCCACCTCACAAAGAACACCCTGTTACCTTCCAGCCCACCAATGCAATGTGAGATTAGTAATAAGACAGCATAAGCTCTTAAGAAGGATTAGAATCCATAGTGCTGAGACAAGACATCCAAACCTACACGGTAGTTAGATATTCAGTATGATCAGTGACAGCTATACATGTATCTTTCTTTAAATTAATTACCTTGATGAATTAGGCTTTAACCTAAACCTAGAACAATACATGCTGCATTCTAGTGTGGTCCTCCAGACTGATAGGCCATAGTAAGAATTCTAAAATCTTTTGGGAGGTGTGTTAATTCTTGACATTGACATTTACAAAATGTTATCTGGTCAGCAGTTTGTGTATCTGTTTCCTGGTCTTCAATGTGTAATCCAATTTTAAAGCATAACTTCATCATCTGGTAAATTTGGTATTAAAGTGTTACTAAACCCACAACAGAAAACAGGTCTATGTATGTAGTAAAGAATGTTTGTTATACTCACTATGGAACCCAAGGGGTTAATCTGCTGCTGCATTGTGTAAAAAGGATGTTTGATCCTGTCTTCTCTGATCCTCTCCTTTTTCTACTGTCCCCAATCCATCTCCTGATAAAACAGAGCCTTGAGGGCAAGCTGCACATACACAGTTTGGTGTGTATTGCTAGACAGTTTTTTTTCTTGGGAGAGTGCATGTGATCAGCACAGGGCCAATCAGCACTGTCTAGACAAAGGGTCAGGGGTTATGCCAGTGGTTCTCAACCTTCCTAATGCCATGACCCTTTAATACAGTTCCTCATGTTGTGGTGACCCCCAACCATAAAATTATTTACCCAGTAATTATAATTCATGAGTGTCGTTTTACCTCCAATACTGCTGCTTTCAACACAGTAGCTGCTTTTCACAGAGTAGCTGCTTTCAACACAGCAGCTGCTTTCTAAACAGTAGCTGCTCTTTACACATCGGAAATATGTGTTTTCTGATGGTCTTAGGGGACCCCTGTGAAAGGGTCGTTCGACCCCCAAAGGGGTCGCGACCCACAGGTTCAGAACCACTGGGTTATGCAGCCTCATAGGACAATCAGGGGAGAATGAAAACTCCTCCTACAAGCTTTAACCAGTGCTCTGCTGGACACTGATATAAGTCACAAGACTGCTCTAACTGCTGATGAGAAAAGGGATTTAGCTTATATTTAGTTTATATTTACTAAAATAATTGCATTTCCATGTTCTGTGTACTGTGGGAGACCAGATATGGTGGATACAGGTTCCTGTGTTTAGTAACAGTTTAAGTGAATAGAGTGCAATAATATGTAAGCAGAATATCGGTTTCATCCTGTCTGTAATGTTTTTGAGGGAATCCATTGTCTCCAGTGTTATTTATTCTCTCTTGAGAAGAGGAAATTAAGGGGGAATATGATCAACATGTATAAATACCTAAGTGGTCCATATAGTGAACTTGGTGTAGAATTATTCACACAGAAGACAAGATGGCATTCTTTACATCTGGAGGAAAGGAGATCTAATCTCTAAAATATGGAAAGGCTTCTTCACAGTAAGAGCTGTGAAAATGTGGAATAGACTCCCTCAAGAGCTGGTTCTGGCCAGCTCAGTGGATTGTTTTTAGAAAGACCTGAATTCTTTCTTAAATGCATATAATATAACTAGATATTAATATTTATAGGTAAAGATAATCCAGGGAATATCCAATTACCTCTTGAAGGCTCAGGAAGAATTTTTTTCCCCCACTGGACCAAATTAGATTATGCTCTATTGGGTTTTTTTTTTGCCTTTCTCTGGATCAACTGTGGGTATAGGACAGAGTATATGAAGGTTTTCTATTTGTGTGTGTGTTTTTCTGTTGGTTGAACTGGATGGATTTGTGTCTCTTTTTAGCCAATTTAACTATGTAAATGTAATGTGCCATAGAATTTTGTCTACAGGTGTCAAATATTACCATCTTTACTAGTACGTGAATGATTTACCCAACTTTCCCACAGTAAAGATATTTCACTAGGTCCAAATGACACTTGAATTGCTATTACAAACATAAAGAAACAAGATAATCTACAGCTACATGTAAGAGAAAAGGGAATGTATAGTCATTTAGGTTTCTGCTCACATTATGTAATTGATAAGTCAAAGTTGATTGGCTGCTACTTACCTCGCAGAACAGTTTTCAGGTTCACTTTGGCTTGCTTGTGCAAATCCTCTACGCATGGAGGCCTGGATGAGGGAAGGAAGACATTTTCTTGTTGGTGCCAAGATGCCGTGTAGTGGACTGTCCACTTGTTTTCTTCATCTAGATTGGAAACAGCTGGAAAGATGGAAAGAATGCTCTTATTAGTTATTGTTCGAACTTGAGAAACACTTCAAGAAGGTAGAACAATATTGATAATGGCTAGCAGACATCTTCCTTAGAAGATTAATCTAATGGACTGAAGAACTTGAGTGGTGCACACCTTCAATTAGGGGGTAATGATTGGCCAGATTTCACAGAGACTTTTCCAATTTGGAAAATATCTGTGTGCAGTAACAAGAACTTCAGATATTAAAACCGCTTGCCATCACTTCATAGGTGTACCCCTGAATGGTTCAATCCTCATTCAAGCAACATGTTCATCACGGTGGAATTGTTCCATCTATGGGAAGTATACAAGCTACAATAATAATCTGCTTATTTTGTTTAGTGCTATAACTTTAGGATGCCTAAAGATGATTTTTCATTTTCTTGTCCCTAGTCAGCATTCAGCTTGAGAAAACTGATAAATAAACAAACATCTGGTACTCGTTGCTTTAAGCAGATGGCACAACTGTCTACTGAGCTGTGGCAAAGATTTGGCCTTCGGCATATGGGTAATTTTTAAACGAATGGCCCAGGTAAGCATTTCTGTTCATTTCTTCAAGGTTACCATTTCATTATAAATGTAGTAGTGAAATTATTACCACACGACAACCCAATAAATATACTAAAATGTTCTGTTAACAATGGGCCACTAAATGACAACTTAAGGCAACATTTTCAGACATTTTTTTTTTTTAATGGCAGTGCAATAGACTTCAGCAATCAGATTTCAGTTTTCTGGAACCTGCTGTGTTAAAGAGTGATTATAATTGTATGCCATGGGTTAATCCCTTGTGCACTTTGTCTTGTTAAAGTGTATCTCTAGAGATAGCCATTGTATGCAAATTTTGGATATCAAGGGGAGGGTCGTGTTTTTTGGTGTCTGTGTCCCAATTGTGGAGACTCACTACTCTTTTTGAATTGGTAACTATTGTCCTCTAGAAAGAAAGGGGAAATCCAAAATTGCAGTGTTGTCCCCAAAACAGGAAAGAGGAAAAGGAGAAATCTCTAAAGGGGATACCTGTTTTGGGGACAATTGTCAGGGAAATTGCTTTGGGAGATTCCCTTTTGCTTTCTGCTGTGTCTGTGGGAAGGGAAATTTCCCCAGCTGTATAAAGACAGCAAAAAAATTGGACAGGGGTTGCTTACTCTATCCAAAACTTAAAAATGTTTTGGCTATACATACACTTCAAATGGGTATAGTTTTTTCTTTAATAGTGGGATTTGATAGAATTAAGGATCCCCCGATTCACATTAACCTTTGTGCTACTAAATGGACCCAATGAAGGTATCCTAAAAGCTGATGAACTGGTTAACTAGGAAGAAACTGGATAATTAATGCAATTACACACTAAAACCAAGATTAGAAGGATTAAGGGATGGAAGCGTGCCAACGTCCATTGCCTCCATTTCTAAAACCAATTCTCTGTCACAAAAACAACTTTGTTTTAACTTCATTTAGTACATAGTCCATTGCTGTCAATAGAACTTTAGCCTTCTAGAACACTGTTCTGGTATAAAATGAAGTATGTGCAGTTTCCTTGCCAACTAAGTAGCAAGCACATTATGCTATTATACTACAGAGAACAAAGATAGATTTTATATTGAGCTGTCATGTACTGAAGGCTTAACATGTTCCTGCGACAGCTCAGAAAAGTGATCATACCAAATTATTATTAGACCAACAATACCATCTGCTATACCATTCTCTCCAATAAAACAACTGATATGAAATGGGAAACAAAGCATAGCACTGAAGGAAGGCTAGTTTCATTTGCTCATAAAATTGTCACCTCCTCTGGTGCCTAGGTAACTACACTAATATCCTTTCCACGAGCCATGTCCTGAAATCTGCTGCCATGGATATACACAGCAAGAAATGGAGCCACACCATCCCCTGGGACACGTGTCAGGTGCAGACAGCAAGTGGCAATATGTTCTAACATGTAGCCATATGGATACAAAGATAGAGGTTATCATATTGCATTACGTAAGGGACATCAGCATTTGACTAAATGGAACCGGCTGAGAAATAATAAAAGCTGTATCAGTGAACAAATGAGTTTGTTCATAAGGAGACATGCACCCAACAAAGGATCTGCATTGTGCTTGTTAGAAGCTCCTCCATATTTTACAACCTAGTTGAAAAGTTTTGCAACTCCATAATTGTTAAGCTGGTTGTAAAATGGAAACAGAAAAAAAGTTCAAAGAGAAGAAGCTTTAATTGTTTGTCATTAAAAGAGATAAAGGTTAATCATTAGGATACAGAAGCAAATTATCAATTAGCCAACAACAACAGAGGGATCAGCACTGACAAAACTCAGACTACTAAAACCACGGGAGGGCTAAGAAGAGCCTCTGGATATTCACTACTTGTTTTATTTATGTTTATTACTTCTTTTACCTAGGACACCAGGTGATAGGAAGGATTAACTGCAAAACAAATGTTTTTATAAAGAAGAATCCATTGCATAAACTCAAGCACTTTAATGGTAAAAGGTGTATACACTCCTGGTGCTGACCTTATCTTGAAAGAAAAATAATGATGGTGGTATAAATCCAACCTGGATGATGGATCCTTAGGTCCGTCAGTGGGTTTTGCACAGATGGCATATACTGTATATGTAATTTCCACATTTGGTCAGATTAGAAGAGCCACCCTAGTTTTGTATGTTGCTAGGTATTATTGGTCATCATTTAAATACTCTACAATGGTTAACATAGTGCGGAAGATAAAATACATTGTACAATTGTATTCGTCATTGATATGTGACCCTTATGGTCGGGCAGGTTCATGGAGTAATCTGAAGGGATGACTATTTTTTGTCCATCATAGGTGGAATGTTAGACACAGCTGTGTCAGTAAAATACATCCCTATGTTTTGTAATCTCTAGAGATCATTCAAGAGAAATAACCTTCACCTACAGCTACTACTGAGGAAATATATCATGCACTACTAACCAGAACTATAATGGGTGCCTCCAGAGCCTATGTAAGCATAAACAAGGTTGGAAAGATATGTCAGTGTTGGCACAAAGAATCCGATACACTAGATGCTCTCTTCAGGGTGGCTCTTACCCTTTGCATACAAAGGTTAAAGTGCTTATCATTGCAGAAAAGCCTTGCACATTGCTATGGCAACCTTTACCATCCCATTTGTGATTCCTATTGCTCAATGCAATACTAAATTATACAATTAGGAAGAACAATCCCTTAAAAAATATTGATAGTTATTGTAATTTAATAATTTCTAGACCAATTAATGTTATAATACTAAGAATGACAAGTCTTAGCAAGTGCATGCTCTCTTCTCTGTAAAGCTTTCAATAGCATGCTGCTCCCACTCTATTGTTCAATAACTTGTGCTTAGGCTAGCTCTCCAAACAGAGCTGGTGTAAACTGCAGTACAAATCCTCATTCAACAAAGCTTTTCCTAGGCATGTTGAGAGGATCGGGGAAAGCCTGAAAATTAATTACAGCTATTAGTTATCTGCACTGCAGAAATTACACAATTCAATATACTTAGATACTGAGAAAAAAGAAAACAGCCGCTATTATCAATGTATAAAAACAACTACTCAATACTTTATATTGATTCAGTAAAGGTCTACAATATTCTATACAGAATAAACAATAATACAAGACTTTGACCTTGATATTTACCTGGGTAACTGTCAAAATACAATTCTCCTAAAGCTTGGTATAAAAGAAATAGTTCCATTCTACAAATATAGCATTGTCTATCCTTACAACACATAAAAACGTTTGGAACAGCAAATACAAAGATCTCAAAGACAGAAAAGGTTCTTTTTCTTAGGAACTCTCCAGATTTCAAAAGAATAGCCATGACATTGTAAGAGGAAACAACAGAACATTAGTCTAAAGAGTTTAACAAAGGCATGTGCATCCTGGGAAAAAGCCTGTATGCCAAGAAAGCGCAAGGTGGAGGAGTGCTTGTACGCAAACACATGACAGCGACTCCTGCAGATCTGCATTGCCAAGCAGTAATTCAACACAAAGTATACTAACAGTATCAGGCTCTGGCATGCAAGGCAATTTCACATTTTAAGAATCACATAAGGAATAAAAGCAATCTAGTATACTGCATTTTCGTAGCTACTTACTCTTCTTCTTGAACAGGCTAATGAGAGATTTCAGCTTTGTGTTGATAAACACCACCATTTCCAATCAGTTACAGGTTCAAAGTTACAAGGCCATAGAAAACATGCAGATTTGCCAAGGTCTGGTATCCAAAAGCGTCTTCTGATGATCCCTCCTGACAACTTTTTGCTTCTGTTATAGCACTACAGTATAAAGATTCCTGCTAAGCCTTGACCCTGAAATCCCTCTTCCATAGTTTAATCTCTGAGCCAGAAGAGCAGATGTGGGGAGAAGATGCCTGGACGTGAAGACGTGACCCATGTACTAGCTCACTTCAGACTTTCTGCCTCATTGCATCTTCACTGAAGACTTCTTTTTCTGTCTTGTAGAAGACTGTCATTTCTCTTCCTCTTCCCCCACCTCCCTACCATTCCCAGATCTGCCTGTTTGCTCTATTCTCTATTGAAGTTCCTAAGCTACAGTGCAGGGCTCGGCACTCTGAAAGGGGCAGTATTGGCTTTCAGCTATTGTTATTCAAACGCCCCCACCTCCCTGAAACCCTGCCACACAAACCAATGAGAAGCACTTTACTCTGTGGGGCTGTTAAAAGATGATTATTGTCTGTTTATTTCCACACTTACCTGGGCACAAAGGTATTGTTTGGATTGCTTTTGTTTTTTGGCTTCTGCTCACAATCTTTATTTGTTGCACAATGGTCATGCAAGTTGAGCTCAGTAAACCATGTTTTAATACAATGAACTTTTAATTCGTAATTCTAACTTTCAGACTCAAGAAAAAAAAAATTTAAGAGCCGCTCCCCTGTTTATTAACAGATGACAAATTTAATTTACAAATTCCACCAACATAAACTCTAT